CAAGTTGGAGGTAAAATCCTTTCAGACGAATCCTGTTTTGATGTTGCTTTAAAAAGGCGTGATGATCCCTTTTGCATCCTGTTGAACGTGTGAGAAAGGGAGCGATGTGCATATGCTGATCCGAGGGTGATGCTGTCAAGTGCAATCACTGCTCAGGTGCCGCATGATCGTATCCATGCACTCATCTTGAAGGCATTTGATTTTAAAGTGCACCTCTGGGTAGAGACGGGTGAGTGGAGTATTTGGTGCCGAGTGGTAAAATAGATCTCTGGGCAAATCAAAAACAACAAGCAGCCTGATGTGCCATTAGTCCTTTTCCCCCGTTTCTCTTGTTTGTATCTCAAACTACATTACTCCCTACTAAAACTCTTGGCTTTCCTTTTCTAACTCCTACGCCTACCCCATTTACCTTACTGTCTGCGTTATAGGCCTTCCTTTGCCAAGGTTGGCGCATTATTGCTCAACATATTTCTTTTTCTATTTTGACCATCTGTCTCTCTTGAACAAACAGTTCTGCTCCTCTTTCCTCTCTCGGCTTTTTGACTGATCTCACTCTCTCTCTCTGATGAATACAGTTGGATTTTTCTTTTACTTATCTCCATCTGCCAGAATGCCTGTGATTAAAGATCCTCCCATAAATAAATATGTTTTTTTAATTGGTTCTTTTTTTTTCTGCAAATGCAATGCAGCCAACTTAGAAGTTGTGAATTTGAAGTTTTTACCAAAGACAATATTCTGCAAGGGTACTTGGTGGGGTTGTTGAGTTTATTGAGCCCAGGATCTCATTAGTCTATGCCACTTATTCATTATTGCAGCAATCTGAACCTATAACATCAAACTTTCAATATCTTATTAATGGTTGGTTTTTGGACTATTTTTAAGCCGGTAATTTCATACAAAAGATTTAAGCTGTAAAGCGTAATGGCAATTTCTCAATCGTTAAAGCTTTAATGCGGCGCGACTTAACTGCATTATGTTCCATTTTACTCTACGGACTCAATGGACCATAGTTTACCAAATTAAAATCATGCTGTATCAAAGAAGAATTGATGATTGACACCACAAGATTCAGGTTTACAAGCTTTACTGAGTTTAAATCAATGTAGGGTCATTTCTCATGCATGAAAGAATGCCAGTTTGAGTCACTTCCTCATTGGCTTAACTTTTCAGTCCCGACTACGTGCCAGACGGTGCAGAAGTCGTATGGAACAACAGAGACTGGAGGAGGTATTTCTGGTCAAGTACCTCATATTCTTTATAACAACAAATACAACTGCGTTTTTATTCTTTTAATAATTCATTATTTTTTGCTAGCAATATAGTTGCTTAGGTCTGGCAAACCTCATATGAAAATATTCAATCAGGCACACGAATCAACGATCGCCTGAAGAAGGATTTGAAATCCGGAGGTCCAAAAAATAAAAGAATCCCACGTGCAATTTGCTGCTGTACTATTTTACTTTGCGTGCACAAAAGAGGCGCCTGCTCCAGCTGGCACAGAATGCATTAGGTGCAATGTGGCAGGTGCATAAATCAGGCACAAGCCTGCTCTTACTGATTGCTAAGCTCCAAGGAGTAAACTGTGTGTTTGTGCATACTGGGGTCATTGAGATGGTCAGCAAAGCTCAAGGGGAAACGATGCCTCTTTCTCTATCAGACGGAGACTATGACGGATGTTTATTGTAATCGGCCTTGGGGGTAATATGCAATGCATCCCCCATCGGCCTCCCACTGAGCTCCCATTCCCGTTATCTCACGCTTGTTCCGAGTCATTAAACCTCCAGTGAGATTGGTCGGAGCGGTGGAATGAAAGCATTCATTTTGGTTAAGAAAATCCCTGTTCCTTTGATGCCTTGCCTTAAATGGGTGCTAATTGACGGAGAGATCTTAATGGTGTGAGAAATGCTTGATAAATAGTGGACCTTCCAATTAAATGACACGACTGCTGGGTTCCTCTCTTTGCTTTTACAGGCAGATCATGATAGGATGATTGTGTAGAAAACAGTGAGTTGCGGTTAATAAGTCTACTGTTACCCAGTGCACCGGAGTGATGGTGTGTGTGCAGGAAGTTACAGATCTCTTCCAATCACCCAAAAGTCTTCTGCCTTCACATAAACAGTCGAAAGATCGTTTTTCCGATATTATTTTGCGAAACCAATCCCCAAAACCAAACCGATGTGAGGATCCGAGCTGTTGATCAGGGCCTTGTGGTCTGAGCGTATCTTCGATCTTTTGAAACATTAATGCCTTCTGTTGTGTAAAAACACGCCTCTCCGGTCTTCCTGGCATCAGAGGCTGCAGGGGAAGTTTTACCTTAGAGGGCCTCTTTAAATTTGACCTGAAAAAATGAAAAAAGAGATGAATTTCATAGTTAATCTTCATGGTTCAAGTTTTGGTCAGATAAGAGATTCTGAGTGCAAACTGGGCAACTTTGGGAACATTAAGTTCCCAAAATACGTCCCTGAAGGATCAATTATGTCTCCAGAGAAATGTACATCCTCCCGAGTTAGTGTTTTTGACTTATCGCAATTATGTGATCATAATCATTGTCGTCATGAGAAAGCATGTTTCACTTACTTACTTACTGTACTTACTTACAACAAACCAGGATTTTAGGCGAATGAATTTAGGTTCAAGCAAAAATGTACTTGTTTATGTTAAAGGAAAGATCATGGTTTGGTTAAAAGTAAGTTTACCAAACTTGTTACGCAATTAAACTTAAAAAGCTTGACATTTAGAAGGTGTTAGTTTCTCCTGTGAAACTACAAATCAACACTAAGATTTACCTCCTGGGGGAGGTTTCCTTATTGGATGCATCCATCCACAACAACCGCTTCCAACAATGCATTTATTAAAACATCTTCCTCTTGTACTTGGTCATTTGTGTGTCCCTGAACCTCCATTTGTATCTTTTTTTTGTATCGTCATTTTTCACATTTCAACTTAGCAGCTTATGAAGTGATGAGCTGCTAAGAGGTCATGGTCCTTTCACGTGATTAAGTTTCAGCCTCAAATTACTTCCAGGTGTCTTTGCACTTGTTTGTGCCTCCTCTTCTGTACCAACAATGGCATCCCATGGTTTGGTTTGAGGTGTTTAAATATGGATGCCCAGGGCAAATGTCAGAATAACTCAAAAATAATTGCAGTCTGCTTCGAGTACCTCTGAATCATCAATACCAGTTGTTTGGTTAATTCTAGGGCCAAATAAAAAGATCGCTCACTGAAGTGAATATACCTTGAAGCCACACAAACAGCAGCATTGCCTCTCATGTATAAAAAGCTGTGGCTCAATAAATTGTGTCCATGGTTTTTGCAGATTACCCTTTTGCTTATAGTTACAATCAGTGCTTTGGAAAAAAAAAATCTTAATTAGGTGCATCCTTGGGGGAGGTCGAGGAAGCGCTCCATCCTGCTTTTTCTGATATTAACTCTCTTTTTAACTTTTGGGCAAGGTACGACACTGTTGGATGAGAGCGAGAAAACCAAAAAATGAAGATCAAGCTTTTACCACGGTGCATTATTTCTTTGATGCCCTGTGGTGGCTTATATGTACACTCCATTTGCCGGATAAAAAAACAAAAAAAACATAAAACATTACTGACATTAACACTCCTGCTTTCTCCCGGAGAGGCACTGTCATTTTCAAGACAGGAACATTTGCTCCGTCATGCTCTCTCATTCTCTCCCTCAGCCTCGACTTTACTGATACTGTCATTTCGGAAACAGCCTTTTCTCAGTCGCTCTCCATCACCCTCTCCTCTCCTCTCTCCCTCTCTCGTTCTGCTCTTCCTACTTCCATTCTCCCCTCTTTTATTTCTCAACCTCTCCTTCCCCCTGTCCTCCCTCCTCACCAACGCAGGCAAGATAACATGCAGCCGTTCCAGCCCATGTCTAAAGACTTAAGACAGCCATTGGTGTCTCTATGGTTGTGTCATGCACCTCCGAACAGCGTGGAGGAATTACAGGATTCCACACAGCTTCAACTACATTTAGGAAAAATGTAGTGGGTTGAGAAAAACACCAGCAGGTCAAATGCATTTCAGACACATTGTAAATCCCCCACTTAATATCACAATGGCGTCTCTCCACTCCAGGCCCCCCGGTGACACGGGCAGAGCACGTGCTCCTTAAATCATTTTAACAAAAAAAGGTCTTTATCCATGCCACCTTTTTTCTGTGGTGTTGGAAAGCAATACAACCCCTAAGTGGAGAACCCCCTTTTGTGCGCGGCTCCGTTGGGCCGGGGAATGCGCTTTTGCGCGCGGCCGCATGGTGGCAACATGCGCTGCGCCGCCAGCGCGTCAGATCCGAAACGTTCCCTCACACTGAACCCCCGGGACTCGTCCTCCTCCGACGCACACGGGCAGCCGCGCTTCTCCTCCACGGCGGGTTCCGAGCAATGACGGCGTGACTGAGTGCAAGTCCGACCCTCCTCCTCCTCCTCCTCCTCCTCCTCCCCCTTTGATGCCCTCGTCGAAGTTCCTCAGTGCTCCTGACACAGGATGAGATGCCATCCTTGACAGCGCGCCGTGGGCAGGATTCGAGGTAAAGTCCATCGGGGTGGCTTTTTTGGGGGGAGAGACCAAAAACTGACATTGCTCTTGTTTGGGGAACAGGCGGTGGAGTGAAAATTTTAAATTTCTTGGGCGGCAGAGGAAAAAGAGAGGGGAGCGGCTTCTCTCAAGGACGCCGGAAGTGTGGATGAAAAAGTTGGGAGGGGGCAGAATTGTTCTCTCCACAGGTGCAGCGAGACGCGGGCCTGTATTGGGACTTAAAAGCCGGTTTCCCTGACTGAATTTGCCATCAAACTCACTGGCCACCACAAATTAACAACCGAACTCGTTTTAAACGATATCGGCGTCGATACGAACACGCTGAGGAAGCAGCAGTCTGGGTGTTGGGCTCCCAAGATCCGGCGCGCTTGCCCCGCTGCGATTTCCCAGCGGGCCTCCCAGACCCGAAAGGACCAGAGCACAAGGTGGACGCCCGCGGCAACAAGTAGCAGCCCATCTTCCCCCCCCCCCCCAACCCCCTAACCCCAAGCGCACCGGGCACTTGTTGTCCAGTCCGCCCGGTATCTTTTTTTTTTTTGGGAGAGGCGGGGGACGATGTTCGCGGACTCCCGGAGCAGATCGATGTGGCGTGCCACATGGATTTTATTTTTTAACCTACTCCTCCACTCCATTCAGGCTCAAGGTAAGAGACACCGCCCCGGGGGCGCTCAGGGGTGGTCTGCCCCCCCCCCCCCCCTTTCCCCGCCATGGTGGCCAGCATGTGTTGGGTGTGTTTACGCTCTGCTGGCATCACATCCGTGATGTGTTCATCATGCTTTGACTTTTTCGTTTTGCACGGAGGCTATAATTTCCTCATTAAGCTTCGCGTGTGTGTGTGTGTGTGTGTGTGTGTGTGTGTGTGTGTGTGTGTGTGTGTGTGTGTGTGAGAAAGTGTGTAGCTTGGGAATTGTCACGTGAAGCCCATTTGGCTGATAATTAAATCACCCGATCCACCCAAAAGTTTGCGCGTCCAACCAGTGCCATAAATAAAGAGATGGGCCCACAAGATGCTATACAGCAGTTGTTCTTTGAGACTGTTTTTAACTTACTGAAATCTGTGTGTGTGTGTGTGTGTGTTTTCTACTTTGCTGAAGTTGTTTTAATCGCTTTGGTTTGACTAGTCATTCAAATTCTCACCGCAATAATCCCTCCAGATCGCTGTCGGGTTCCTGTGGAGACTAAGCGTGTTGTTGCTGTTGCTGTTGCCCAGCAGTCTCTGTAAACTCAGGCTTCCTTTTCATTGTTATCACACGTTCATGTGCACGTAGAACCTTTTCACAAATGATGTTACCCAGGATGACCTGAAGTTTTGTTTTTTTTTCCTTGCGAAGAAAAGTGTCACTTTGAGCATTTTGTGGAGCTAATTGGGGGTCTGCAGTTAGACATGAGGCTGCCACGGGGTGCTCAAAAGAGGGGGTGGGGGGTCCTCAGCAAAGTACCCAGGTATCTTAAATGCCACCTCACTCCGTTTCTGTCTCTCCACCCATGTAATCCTCTACCTTTATCCCGGCATGTGCAGTTACCTCCAGGGTGGCGACTCAAGGTTAAAAAAAAATGCAAAAGAGCTCTTGCTCTTTGCTTTCCTCCACTGCACCTTGTCCACTGGGATGATTTAGGATTCAGGTACAGCTGCCACTGCCAGGAGGGAGTATTACCTCTTGAGATAGACTCCCGGGGTGACGCTCACTCAATAATACAATGTAGAGAAGATGGGGGGAAAAAAAAATAAACAAGGCAGATATCCATCATTCATGAGTGCACATCCGAGTGCCTGACATTTACAGGCGATTGATAACTCGTGTGTCCTATCGCGAAGGGTCCTGCCACTGTGGCTCCCTCCCTCCCTCCCTATAACCGTATCTCTCTCCCTGCTGACTCCCACCCATCTCTCGCTCCCTTCTTAATGCTTATTTAGCCGAGCAAGTTAAATTAGAAGACATTATTTACCGCGGTGGCCCGGGGAGAAGGCCTTGACAGCCGCTCGCTCTCATCCCCCCCCCCCCTTTCCCCCTCCCCCACGTCCAGCAGCGGCCATCAGATTCGCCCGTCGCTCGTGGGTTAGAAAGTGTAGGATTTAATTGGACTCTAATTGCATCCCGAAATGGACACTCAAACCGTTCGGAGTGCGGCGTCGTTGGAAGTGACCCCAGTGTGGGCTTGACTCTCCTTCCCCGCGATGATTAAAGGACGCCACGAGGCCGGTATCACGCCTCTGGACGGACACGTCGGCCACCGCTTGCCACATTTTAATGACCAGTCCACACCGAAACAGCTTTTTAACGACGGGAGGATGGCCTTCATCGGGGCCAAAGTGCTATGAAGTCTGGCTCCGAGGCTCGCTCAGCAGGGAGAGGCATCTGGTATTTTGTCCATTTCATTTCATCATCGTTGTGAGCGGCAAGGAAAATAAACAAAGTTTTACGGTTAATAATCCTCAGTGCCTGACTGATGGCTGATTTACGCTTGGTGTGGTGTACTAACCTGAAACAATGAAGCGTTCTGCATTGCAAACAAAGGCCTTGTGTCACACACACACACACACACACACACACACACACACACACACACACACACACACACACACTATTTTGGGTTGCTGACACATGCAGTACAATACGCTCTTCATATCGTGGACGAAAAACAAAAAAAACGTCCATCCTCCTAACTCGCCCCGGACGTTTTGTTTAAAGTGACAGTTCTAGGAGCTGTCTGGTCGGTCCCACTCTTCACTCCCATTCATTTACTGAGGTCATGGGCTCATGGGCATGGACACAATGCTGGGCTTTGCCTGCTGCTTTTGTCATTTCCCAAACACATCTATTTCAGGGCCCGGAGCAGCCGGGGGGGGGAGGGTTGGGGGCTCTATTGGACTGTCATGTTTGGCATACATACTTCTGCATCACTCAACGTCTGCAGATTAGCCCGAATGTGCTACAGCTCGACTTTAGGAGCTTTAAAAAGGGAGTTGAGGACTTGGTTCTGTCAGAGGCGGGGCACACATATTCATTTTTTTGGGGGGGGGGGGGGATCTGGCGAAAACGCGTACGTTTAGAGCGACGGCCTGTTTTTTTTTAGCTCACCGTGTTCTACCTGGACCTTGACACCGTGATGGAAGTCAAGGATGTAATTTCCATTTTAATTCTCGTAGATGATTGAATTGAAAATTGTACGCCTGGAATGAAATGCAAGCAGTTTTGGAGGCACCTTTTTCGACTACTTCAGAGGGGAGTAAAATGTAATGCATTCTTATCCCCGGAGACCAAAGTGGGGCGCGTAATCACAGACGTGCGGCAGGGAATTCACGGCAAACGCGTCCGCGGCTTGCAGATGAAAAGGTGGAAGCTGCCGTTGCATGTGGCGGGATTAAGACTGTCAGGCCTCCAGTGTATTCGTCTTTTGTCTTCTCGACGGAGCTGTGCTCCGCCGAACAGGTTGTCAGGACATGTCGACATGTGTGGGTGGCGTTTCTTTTTGTGTATTCGAGAGCCTTTCGAGTAGCCCTTCTCCAATCGCAGACAGCGGATACCTGCGGCCCCGCATTTAGATTGTTGATCAAAGCCACGTTTGGTCTTTTATATGAGACACTCTTTTATTAAAGCAGCAGGTACAAGTTCTTTGTGGGGTGATTTGAAACTGACGTGATGGACTTGGCCAAAGCCGTAGAAAAAGAAGCGGATTGTGATAGTAATCTGAGGGAATCATGGAGACGAGGTTTGTCTCCAGACTACAACTGCACCTCCTTCGTCACTCATCCTAGTTGACAGACAAAAGGATCACTGTTTCCTCGTAGCAGCTGTGCCCTGTAAAAATACATTTTGCAAAAACAAAATGTAACACAAAACGTAAGCAACGAAGCCGCCCCATTTCCCTGCAGCCGGCGCGTCCCGCAAAAGGTCACAACATATCGCTTTTAGAATTCAGGCCTGGCGAGAAAACTCACAGTCAAAGTCCACTGATGGATTTCTCAGAGGGACGTCTAGAGTTTCACTGCGCTGCGTTCAATAAAACAAAACTTCCCACCCAAGGTCCCCGATAGTCGCAAGTCCAAGGGAGAGGCGTAACTGAAAGACCTTTTGTTTTTCCCTCTCCAGAGAGCACTTCCAGAGCTCCTACAAGTGGGGCTGCTTTCATCGACCCTGCCCCCCCCCCCCCCCCCCCCACAGCCCCACTCCCAAACCCGTCAGTCAATCAAAAGAAGGTGTTCCTAAGTGGGCTTAAATTTCTACACAGGAGCTCCGTGCGAATGATATAAAAGAATGAATAAATAACAACTGCAACAAGGTCGTCGTCATGTGACGAAGAGGAAAAAAAGAGAAGGAGGGGGAAGAGAATAGTGACCTGCTGACAGATCCTCAATTTAATTTTAACAGACAGGTCCATGAATTTTACATGCTCCTTAACGACAGTGCTACTAAATGTTTTCTCCAGATGTGGTCGAAAGCGAGGCCTCGGGATGATTTCAAACTTCTCACCTATTAATGCACAAACACCCACCCCGCTCTGTCCTCACTTTCACTGTGCGCAGACGCCTGTTCTTGCACAGTTGCGTAAAAGTGTGAGCTGGGAAGGTTCGACATCTCTCAAGCATCTTGAGCTATTTCTATTTTTATTCTCTGCTGTGGCACCCTACTAAACTAAACTTGATTGTTCTGCATTTAGTATGCAGCTTAACATTATCCAAGTCATCCGTTGTATTGGATTATCCCCCATATTTTAGGTATGAAAAAAACCAAAAACCTTGTTAAAATGTCTTCAGAAATTTGGCAAACCTAAACAGTTCACTTCCATGTCACCTGTGTTTGCAGGAGGACTTATGGCTCTGAATATGTTGCCATTGCATGAGAGCGAGGTCACGTTCGTGCTGACTTTGGCACACAGCCCTCTCATTCATTTCAACAAGGCCAGTCTGGTGGCTCCGTTGACCTGGTTTAACCTGGTTCACCGTTTTGCTGCATGTCAATACTGCATTATCAGGCAAGGTGGCGAGTGCATGTACCTGTTGGCTTAACCGGGAACGTGAACAACACAGTTCTACTGTTGACTCTGTGATTGGTAAAAATAATTTCAGGGTTAGGGTTTTTCATCTAAACTATCTTCAAAATAATGTCCGCCAAGGTAGTGGGCTTCACCTGCCAATTGCTGATTAAACCCCTGAAGCAATATGACTTAAGAGGGATCTGCCTCCGTACAGTGAACAACATCATATATTGATCCAGCATGAAAGGCTTAGAAAACATTCCCTGTGAATCATCCCAAAGGATAGGCATGGTTTATGGTCGGACTTTGGATTTCGTCGCTCTGAAGATCCAGGAATCCCTGAAATACTTTCAATGCAGCAGACAAAAAAAATGAGGTCAGCCTAATTTGGGTCGAGATGACATAAAAAAATGTTTCCACCAGGAACGTCTCGCTCCTCTGAGGGTGCTTCTGGGTGACAATGGCGCGCCATAATCAATGCCATTTCACAGCTTTCTGTTCATTGACCGCATCTGGCCCGACATTGCCTCATTGGCATGCCGACCACTTTTCCCCTCTCCTCTCATCTAATACATTCCAAAACCTTTAATCCTCACATTTCAGCCAGCCCTGCTCTTTGAAACACTAGTTATGTAACCCTCCCAAAAAATTGACCATTTAAGATTG